ACATCCTGGCACGAAGTACTTCCACTCGTTCTCTTAAGCATAAGAAACACGATTAAAGCGGATTTGCACGCCACTCCATCGTCGCTAGTCTTTGGATGCACACAACGCTTACCTGGTGAACTCGTCTCACCAAAAGCGCCAACAACCTTGGACTACGGCGACTACGCAGCTCGCCTATCTCATCATATGCGACAGATTCAGCCTGTGCAACCCAGAGCACAGAGCTTGCGTAGCACGGCAGACGCACGTTTAACTACTTGCACGCACGTGTTCGTTCGCACTGACAGAGTACGCCGGCCACTTCAACCTCCTTATTCTGGTCCGTACCGTGTCGTACGCAGAAGCGACAAGACGTTTACCATTGATTACAATGGTAAAACTGAGACAATCAACGTAGATCGACTCAAACCAGCGTTCCTCGACAAGTCTGACTCTTCAGTGCAACAAGCACCTTCACAGCCTGCGCCATCACAACCGCAACCTCAGACTAGTCAGTACGCTCCAGCAGAACCGACAACCTCAACCGACAGCCCCCCTACTCGCCCTGCTATCAATCGACGCGGTAGGAAGCTCAAACCCCCAGTTCGATTTTCCGACTTCGTTAGCACTTACTATTTTACACAGAACGTGCCTTTGAAACTTTCTGCTCTTACCAAACGTTTACGGAAATCCACAAAAACGATCAAAACGTTTTGAAACTATCAAAAAAGAGCAAAACATTTTGAAAACCCAAAAACAGCTTTGCACGTTTTTCGCATTGCACTTTTTTGTGTATTACTATGCATTTATGCTGCCTTTTTCATTTTATTTTCCATATACGCCGCTGGTTGGTTGCACCTCGGTTTCACTTTTCGCTGGATCTCCGCACGTCAACTGGAAGTGGAACGAACATCCTGCTCAACCGCCTAGGTGAACTTTACTAACTGTCCCCCCACAAACCGTATTTTTTACCGTTTCGACACCATAGGCAGGACACGGGTCGGAGCCCGCTAGGGTCCGATTGCATGGTTCTCCCCCAGCAGCTGCATCAGGTTTCACAACCTGGTCTCGCAGAAGGCTGGCCCGCGACGGATAGTCCTCACGTAGATCAAAGGACTGCTTACACAGTCCCTTCTGGGAGAGGGCTATGTAACAGTCTGGAGATTCCCCGGTTCGCCTGTGTAAAATGCTAACTAAAATTATTTCATTGTACACTTAGGCAACCGGTGTGGTTTGTTGAACTGATTGCTGAGTCCGAATGCTTGACTTGCTCATTGCCATTTTTGCTTGGCGCTCGTTTCGGTTGCAACTCGCGACTGCCCTATATGCTGTGCTTACTCCGTTCCCCTAGCTAGAGCGTCCACGGTGTCGTTCTTTTATAGCTAGATAACAGGGAATCTTTTACTGTACCAATAAAAGTTTCCCTGCAACTCGATCTGTCTTCTCGAATCGCTCTCTGGGCTCCCGGTACACGCGACTCTCTAAAATATATTTAGGTCGCTTTGTGCTTAAGTATGTACAAAAAATGGTAGCTGGTAGGATATATTAGTTGTGCGTTTCGCTTTCAGTCACCGCGATTTTAGAAAATATAAAAAATACAATAGTCAGACAACATATATGATTCAGATTCTGATTAAGATGGACTGGAAAGATAAGAAAATCCCTTGAGTGTTCCTTCTTGAGCAAATCGTTGAGCCAGGAAATGATAAGGTGCTAGTTCTTGATAGATCTAAAACAAAACACCCGAAACACACCCCGATCAACCAATTACTGCCCGTGTTCCCTGCACTAGCAGTCCGCGCTGTGTAGATTACGTGAAGTAAGAATGAAGTAAAAAGTAAATGGAAGATAAAGTGGAATGAAAGTCATTAAAAGGAAGGATAACACAAAAGAGTGAAGAGAATGACAGAATAAGAACTAAAAGTTTGAAGATGGATATGGTCAGGATAATGGAAAGGTTTCGTGTTGCCACCCAATAGCGTCTAACTGACGCTCGAAACCCTTAACCGTAGGTTCACTGACTACACTTTCTGGAAGCGAGTTCCAGTGCTCGATAACTCTACGCGATAACCGAGTTTCCGCCCTGATCCCGTCAGAACGCGGCTTGTGTAGCTTCATGGGATGACCGCGAAGACAAGGCAACCTAGCCGGGCTAAATAGCCAGCTCAAGTCCGGTCCAACCTTCCCTGTTAAAATGCGGTAAGGATTAGTTCTCCTCGAAGCCGTCGGTAGTGCAATGAATACATACCCAAGCTAAGTAGACGCTCGGGGTACGATTGCCCCCGTAACCCCTCGACCAATTTGTATAGCCCTTGTCCAAGCAAGTAAGTTACTGCAACCATAAACTTTACATTGGTTCATTGGTTAGTAGAGAGCAGAAGGAAGTTCCTTTGTCAGCTCCGCCACTTCCCAAACATTGTGAGGGTTGCTGGGATCATTGCGGAACAAGGTTCAGCAGAAGATCGCTATGGTTGTATTGTGGGCAGCAAAATCCCTGCGTACTCAGCGAGTGGGTATCCAACCGTCGTTTGAAACATTCCTCCGTCTCCGCATCGACGACGGCTTCTGGCAAGCTGTTCCAGTCATTCACTACCCGGGTGGATAGGGCCAGATCGGACCGTACACGGAGTCGCCGCGGTTTGAAAATTTTCCACCGGTGGCCTCGAGTTGCACAACTTGTGTTTAGACAAAGGAACGATTGCAGCTCACTCCCGAGCTCACTTCGCAGAATACGCCGAGTGAATATCATATCTCCGCGGCGACGACGATAATCCAAAGAGAAAAGGTTCAACCGTTGAAGACGGAGGAGGTAGGATAAGTCCCGAAGCTCTGGAACGGATTTGGACCCACGCCGTCGAACCTTCTCGATCATGTCACATTCGGACTTAGTGAGCGGGTA